TTAAACTCGGCATCAAACTAGGCATAGATTCAGGTCTACAAGACTCAGAACTCGAAGATGAGGTGGCCTGAGCATGTGGAAAATGATTAGTGAGGACATTCCTTGGCAGATTCGCAGATTTTGGGCAGTATGAAGGATTTGTAGATTTTTTTTCTTTTGAGTTATCATCTGTTGCGAATAAACAAAATGAAATGATACCACTGTTGTTTTTTTTTTCTTCTTTGTTATGAACATCATGAGATAACATTATAAAAATTTCAATATCTAAAAGACTCAACTCACTTTCTCCTAATAAGATTTCGCATGAGTTTTAAAGATGAACGCTACTATTTTGGGAGTCTTTAGTGTGCAAAAAATCCTGAAACTCAGTGGAAATATCTTTGTTTTGTTCTCTCCTGTGAAGATGAGGTGAAAAAAAGGGTTGAAGCGCAGAAAATGTGACATCAATGATAACAAATATTTTTCTAGTTGTGGGATCAAAGCATTTATACCCCTTTTGGCTAGAAGCATAACCATCAAACATACGTTTTTTAGGCTCGAGATTCAAATTTTCATAGACGATGAATGTGAACCAAATAGGACACCCAAATATCTTTACAAATAAAGAAAATATAAGCCGATTCTTTGGATAAAAATTTTGAACAACATCAAAAGTTGTTTCAATGTTTAAAACTTTATTGAGTGTTCTATTTACGAGAACTATAGCAATAAGAATGACTTCACCCCAAAGATATTTAAGCACCTGATTGATATATAACAATGTCCGAACTATCTCCAATAAATGTATATTTTTTCTTTCAATTAGATCATTTTGTTGTAAGGTTTTGACACGAGCTCTGATGAATTATATTTTTTTCAAGAGAAATTTAACACAAAATATTTTTGAAATGCTCTCGGCAATTATCATTTCGTAATATTTGAGTTATTTTTAAAATCTTTTGTGTACCATGCTGTAAATTTTTTTTAAAAATCATTTCCACTTCAGATTTTTTTTATAAATAAACTCAATTTTATCTAATATAATCATCAGTGAAAGTCACAAACTATCTTTTCCCATAATGTGTAAGGTTATTATAAAGACCTCAAATATCGTTATGGACTAACGTAAACGGTATAATTGGTTTGTATATTTGTGGAGAAAATGTCATGATATTTAGTAAACTAACACACTTCACATTGAAACAAATACAAATTTTTATTCTAAAATAATTTTGGAAATAAGTATTTTAGATACTGAAAATTGTGATGGTCGAATCTATAAAGTAATAACATAATTTTATTGTCTTTCAAAATAGAAATAGAATTTAAACCAACACTTCGACAATACATTGTCTATTCAAGCCAAGTCCATCATCAAAATAATAATCCATCTTTTTTTCTTAGCACTTCCAATCATCCTCCCCGTAATCTATTCCTAAAACTAACAATAAGACGAATATAAGTTAGCTTAACATTGATGATTAGCAATAATTTTATTAACGAACAACAAATTACACAATAGATTAAGAGCATGGAGAACATCAAGAAGGGTTTTAAAAAATCAAATACTTTAAAGCAACCCATGATGTTATTAGTTACATCAAAATTAATTATTCAGAAGTGAAAAACATTAGGAATAACAACTAACAAAGCAAGAGCTTAAGGAGCAAGACAGAGATTGAAATAATTTTGAAGATTGAAACAATTTGTGCAAGTGCTCTAGTTGCTTCTTCGCAAAATGTATGGTTTTCAAATTAGCAAGTAGCTCCTGAGTTTCTTCAACAGTGGCTTGATAAGCTTCACATTCACACTTGAATTTTGATTTCCAATTTGTAAGCTTACCATAAAGCTTTCAACATGCCTCTCTCCTGTGTCATGATTTTTTGCAAGGCTCACGCCATGATTTTTATAGCCAACTTTGTCAGTATCAACCCCCTTTGACATAAAAGTTGAATTCACTTGTTCAGTGTTACGAGAAGATTTGATGTTGCACAACATAATTTTTCTTCTTGAATCTTCGAGTGTAAATTCAAAAATAGCTTCTCGAATAAAGGGTAGGAGTTTTCTACCGAGGATGCGACTTCAAACCTCGTCCAAATTTCAATTAAGGCCGACTAAGGATATGTAGACTCAATTGTTTTCCTCTCTCTTCCTGTGACGAGCATACTCATTCAAATTTTCTCAAATGTCATCATAACATCGATCAAGCTTCTATCATAATATTGCTAATTCATTGTTATACGTAGTAGCATCATAGTCATTTTGTTTGAATTTTCAAAGTTGAGTTTTCAACTCAAAAATTTTGCAAAGAATTCTCCAAGTCTGAATAGAGACATTAAACGAGCTCCCACATATCTCAAGCGATAGGAAGGAATATAAGAGGCTTTCCAATGATAGATTTCATGGAGTTGATGAGTCATGCTATCACCAGAAAATTCTTGTACTGCCAATTTTTTATATTTAGAACACTAGTAGTATGTTTTAAAATTTCTCCAGTTAAATTCCCAATTTTAGCCATTATGTTTATAATGAAACTAGTCGATTTGGTAAATTTTCTTTGAACCCACTTCATCATTATTGATTTGTATGATATCTTTAAAATCTGAAAAAGAGCAACAAACGTGCAGTGACTACCTCAAGCAAAAAGAGAAACAAGCCCTGGTTCAGATATCAACTCGGCTTGTGCAATTTCGACGTCACAAGAAGACAAGAAACTCCACATGAAGTTGGGTCTTTGAACATCGTGATCCGCTCGTTGCCTTCCCAACCGGCTCTACTCTAGATTGTATCACATGGGTCTCGACTGTATCTCTTGGGTCTCTGAACTCCGTGATCCAGTAGTTGCCTTCCCAGCGGACTCTAATTGCATCTGTATCGAGAAAGACTTAAGAAAGACGCGATCCCAGAGTTGCCTTCTCAGCGAGCTCTGATCGCGCCTGTAAATGGTTTATGAACATTGCGATCTAAGTGTTGCCTTCCCAGTGGCTCTAATCATGACTGTAAGGCAGGTGGTCGATCACGAAGATGATGGTAATGGGCGATCCCGGGAGAGACAGGAGCTACGCAATAGTGGACTAGGTCATAGTTTCCAAGACTAAAATGGGCTCTGATATCATGTAGTTTTTGGGAGTGAGAAAATAAGTATTCCTCTTTAATCTCATAGAGAAATATTCCAAGTTAAATGGAGGAGGATAGATCAAATATTAGAAAAATAATAATATCAGTCATAACTATCCATGATAAAAGAAAGAAACAAGATTTATGATATATCAATAATAGAAGATGCTAAAATGAAAAATACTAGTAATAGGAGATACTAAAAAACAAACCATTCTTAACATGCATGTATAATCCAAATGTAGTAAATTAAATACTATGTAATTTAATTTCCTAAGATTATTTGATTCGTTGTAAACTAAATGCATGAAAAAAAAAATTTATGATTATTAGTTGTAAATGAAATAGTTTAATCTATTTAGGACACAGATGAGAGGATGACCCGATGACGTCCATGGATAGCGGGGGTAGCGGAGCATCCAGCAAGAATGGCATTGTGGCACAAGGTAGAGTTCAAAGTTTGTTTTATTGCACAACCTCTAATACAACCAAGGTTTAAAATTGTGTAATTTGGTTTTGAGACATTATTTTTATCTATAAATTAACAAATTGCACAAAGTAAGAAGTATTATGCTAAGTTCAAAGTACATAATATGAAGTAAAATTTTAACATTATAGCCCATTAATAGATAACAATGTAACATATTAACTTCCTATTATCATAAAATAGCAAATTATGTAAATAATAAATAATATATTAGTTTTCAAACATCATATAATAAAATAAAAAAATGTTATGGTAACATTAAATTAAGAAATAATAATATAACAATTCAAAAGAAGTTCTATACAATTAGTTTCCCTCTCACTCCTACTGTCCTCCGTTAAAAAAAAAAATGCAACAAGCAATCAAGATTATAATTTTAAGTTCATAATCTACATCACAATCAAGATTATAATTTTAAGTTCATAATCTACATCACTCTCATCACTCAATGGGTCTTCATTAGAATGAGCGCATTTTTTTCATGTTCTCCCATTTCTCCTTATCTTCAACACCAAATATCTTTCTCTTATCTAATCAATAATAATTAATAAAAATGTTTATTAGAATTTAAAATAATGAGATTCAATAACATGTTCAATTGTGTAGCATTTTGGTATATAATGAGTGTTTTATTGGAGTTATTTTATATTTATTTAAAAAAAATTATAGATCTAACTGAACCAGCGCAAGAGGCGCGCCTCACACTATATGATATGTAAGCCTCATGGAATAGCCAATGCAAGTTTTTAAAAGACCATTAAGGCGAGCTTTAAGTTGCATGTCATATCACGCAATTTTAAATCATGAATACAACAAAACAAGCATCCCCCAAACAATAAATTGTATTTTGAGACATGTTGAAGCCTTCTCCCTCGATTGAAGTCAAACATAGGAACCCTAGAACAACACCCTATTGGGCCCAAGCACAGTTTCCAGGAGTAAGAACCTAGCGTAATTCTTCATTTATCTACAAATCACCTTAAATTTCTGGAATTTCACAACTTCAAGGACCATGCACATTGAAGCATATACTTGCTAAAAATCCTAAAAACAGTAGCTCTGAATTCCATTAATCAGAAAAACTGAATATGACCAAAAGAGTTACTCTAAACCTCCAATGGATCTCAATTTACACCATTGATCTTTTTCAAAGGTTCAACCCTAATCAAGAAAGTGCAGATGACACGACTCACTTTCCTCAAATGACATCTAGTATCCACCAACCAAACCACTACTAAATCTTGCCGCTCTGCAAATCGCAGCAGCAATCTGCCCACAAATAAAAAACAGAGCAATAAAAAACGTACTCCTCTAAACCCTCGAAAATCCACTTTTTTCTCCCAAAATCAAAACAAAATAGAAAAACTTTTCAAAACTATAAAACAAAACAGAATCAAAAACAGCTTAAGGCTAGTACCTGAGGGACTTTGACGGTGGTTGAGGCAGCGACGATGCAGTAGCCGAGGACTTTCGAGAGTAACGGAAGAAGGCAGTCCTTCTCCGGTAACTTCCCAGAGCCAAGTGCTCCAAGAATGCATCCAAAGTTCATTCCTAAGATCTCCAGTTCCATGGATATCTTTCCCGTCAACAGCTGCAAGTGGAATCTCAATGTCGATGAGAGCATGTTATTTACAATTTAACAATTTCATTAAATATTACACAATTTTTATGCGTTTATATATTATATATATATATTTATTTATTTATTTAGTCATGAAAATTGATGAAATACGGCAGAATATTTACATATATATCACCCAATGATTTTATATGTCTAACACCTAAATTTTATTTTTTTTACATTTAGACCAACTGTATTTTTACCATGACATCAAAAATACCATCATTTTTAGATTTAAAAAGTGAAATATGTCTTTTAATACATAGATAAAGTGGTATGTCTGTAAAAATTAAAGTTTAAATGTTAGATGTGTAAATGCATGGGTATTGAGGGTCTGGTACCTTGGAGAAGCAGCTCCTCATGTGAAGTGAGAAAGCTGTTGTTGGAAAAGCAGGAGTCTCTTTGGATAATATGATGTGTTGTTGTTGTTTTTGATGAAAAAAATTATTTTGTCTTTATAAATGTAATATATCAGAATACTTGAAATTTTCAAAATAATTAGAATAAAATAACAGAAACAAGTCATGCCACACAAAAAATTTCAGTGGAGTGCAAAATACTCTGATACTTAAAAAGTGACAAATCATTTCATGCATATATTTACAATAACGATGGGCACTAAAATAACAGGAAGCCTAGAATGACGATCACTTTCATGTCCTGTCGATCAAGTCTTCCGAATCTCATCCTCATAACAACATCTCTCATAACATGATCACTGTCTAGAGCAAACACATCAGTGTCATCAATCCAACGAAAATAGTTACAATCTTGAGGTGTCATGTCTCTGGGACAAGTAAAATCTCTTCTCGTAGTTGCATTATCTTCTTGATTGGTACTCAACACACCTCTCACCACATGGACAAGATGAAACTCTTAAAACATCAAACGATTTTGAACTTATGTTTTGCGTTATTATAATACATTATGCCTTCATTAACAAAAAGAGTAGATATGCAACCTAATCATTAAAAAAGTTAAACAATTTTACAGTAAAAATACTATGCAGAAAGAAGACATCAAGAAAAGTTTAATAAAAGTACCCTTCGGTTTCAGTTCGATCCAGAACCGCAGGCGAGATTTCTTCATCTTTGGGTATCGAACGCCCAAGCAAATCACACGCTTCTTCCTCCTCTTCCCCTATACGCACGCAAACACGACAGAAGTTCAACGCTACCTCTTCTTCCTTCGCGAGCACAATGTCGAGTCACCCGATCTTCCATACACACGAATACTAGCAAAGCTGTTTGATTTGGGCACGAAGCTTTCCTTCTCCTTTGAATTCCCCTTCTTCTTCTACTGTTTCTTCCATTCTCACTCTAGGCAATGGCAGTTTCTCCTTACTATTGTTATAAAGGAGTCGAGCTTGCGCGAGCTTAGGTTTGGCTAGTGTTCGGCTCGTTTAAAATTGCTTGTGTTCGAAATCGGCTCATGAACAGTGTGTTCGTGTTCGGCTCAAAATTGACTCGTTAAAATTAAATTAAAAAAAATAGATGTAGAGTATTAGATTTGAACATGAACTAAATCTATGCAAAAGAAGACAAATAACTACATTATCACATGAGCTGTTACGATTTAAACTTAGATATAAATATATATATATAATATATTATTATATAAATAATTATATATATATTTTTTATTTCGAGCTAAAATGAGCCGAATACAAGCGAACAAAGAGTTGGTCATGTTCGGCTCATTTATAATTCGAGCTTTAAAAAATTGTTGATGTTCGGCTCATTTACTTAAAGAACGGGCAGAACACGAGCAACTTAACGAGCTGAACACGAGCTATTCGCGAACAACGAGCTTTTTTTACAGCCCTACTCCTTGCTCATTTGACTGTTTCGAATGAGTTAAAAATTCTATGAGGGTTGCGACTCTTCTAATCATCCGCACCTTTTATTAATTAATTTATTTTATTATTATTCTTGTTTATTTTATTTTATTTATTTTTGCTTATCACATAATTTCAATATATGACATCCAACATTTACATTTGCACAAAACAAAGCTATTACCAATGGTATAATTTTTCAAAAAAAATATAATAATAATAAATAGTGCTAAAATTTCTCTCTAGAAAATGCTTCTCTAGATTGAACAAAAGACACGAGCAACCAAATTAATCATATAACATCAGAACTTTAATATATAAAATAACATCAACATAAAATTTCAAAACAAAGAGCTGCACATATATCGTCTCCATTCATAGCTTTTCTTAAATAAGCTGGAGGAAAATGGAAGGAGATATTAATATCAAGCATTTAGCCTAAACATTTGCATAGAGCAAAGACATTCCCAATGATATAAATTTTCGAAAGAAAGAACAAAGGTGAATATTTCTCTCCAGAAAAGTATTCTCGATATTGAACAAAAGAAAAGAGCAACCAACTTAACCATCTAGTATCAAATCTTTAATATAAAATAGCTTCAACATAAATTTTAAAAACAGAGAGCAGTGCACGTATACCTCTCCATGCATAACTTTTCCTGAATGAACTACAGAAAAATGAAAGGTGATATCTTATCTAGCATCTAACATTCATGTTTGCATCAGCTCAAAAACATTTTCAATGATTTTATTTTTTTTTAATAAATCACATGTAATCAGAATTCTTTCCAAAAAATGATTCTCTAGATTGAAAAAGATGTAAGATCAACCAAATTAATTATCTAACATCAGAACTTTAATATATAAAATAGGTTCAACAGAAATTTACAAAATAACGTGCAGTGCACATTATCTCCTCATGCATAATTTTTCTTGATTGAATAAAGGAAAAATGAAAGGCGTTAACTTCTATAACATCTAACATTCATGTTTACATCATAATAACGACATTCTCATGGTGTAATTTCTTAAAAAAAATAAATAATGCTAAAATTTCTCTTCAGAAAATGTCTTTTAAATTGAAGAAAAGACGAGCAAACAAATTAATCATCTAACATTAGAACTTTAATATGTAAACTAGCTTCAAAATAAATTTTCAAAATAAAGAGCAATGCACATGTATCTCTCCATGCATAACTTGTCTTGATTGAATGGGAGAAAAATGGAATGTGATAACTTATCTAGGATCTAACCTTCATGTTTGCATCAGCCCAAAGACATTCTCAGTGATTTTATTTTAAAAAAAAACAAACAAACAATGCTCAAATTTCTCTTAAGAAATCATTTTTCTAGATTGAAGCAGAGACAATGAAATGTAGTTACTATAATACACTTTATCAAATTTATCTAATAGTTAAAATTCTAGGTTTCAATCTAATCAATGAAATTTTACAATGGAGACAGAGAGAATAGAAAGAAATATTTATTATGCAAATGAAACCGATGAACTCACATCTCTTTCCATAAAAAAGATTCTCTAGATTGAAGAGGAGGCAAGATCAACGAAATTACCCATATAACATCATAACTTTAATATATAATATAGCTTCAACTTAAATTTTCAAAATAAAGAGCAGTGCACATATATTTTGAAGTAGAGACAATGAAATGTAATTAGAGTAATCCAATTAGTCAACTTATCGACAAGATGATATTTCATGATTTCCATCAGGTTAATGCAATTTGTCAGGGAAGCGGAGAGAATTAAAGGGGAAAATGATAAAATGAAAAGCATCAAACCATCAAAAGGTATATTGATTGGATGATAAAAAACAACCATCATACCATCAAACCATCCAAACAAAAAAATACCAAAATGAAAATCTTCAAACCACCCCAACAGAGAACAAAGGAAATCGAGAGAAACATATAGAGATAGGTAGTGAGAGTTGATAACACCGAGAACAGACTGAGGGGAGCTCTCTGTATGATTTCTTCCCTATAGACACATGTTTCTACCGAGAATGGAAAGGGAAGAGCGTGCAGAGACAGAGCGAGGAATTTTGGCTATTGAAGAGGGGCAGGGACGACTTTTTGAAGTTGAAATGGAGCTCAAACTGCGAAACATAGAGCCCCTCTGCTGTTTCGGCTTTTGTCGATTCACTACTGGATATCCACGAAACGCATGATATAAGCAGGCTTCCGAACACCTTGGTTGGTGTTTCAAGGTTGAGAAGCGACAAAAATGGGCACTAAACTCACCCTAAATTGTGTTAGACAATCATTATGGACAATACAAAGCCACATATTTGATAAATCCAGATTTCACAAATTGGACCTTAAATCCTAGATTTACTAATCCCGTGAATCGATGGGTTTAGTAAATATGGGATGCGCTTTCGTGCGAAAAAGAAGTTGTGAAGTTATATTTTGGTAGGAATGGAGAGGCAAAGAGGAGAAAGGTAGGAATTTCAAGTCCCTAGACATCACGATCCCATTGTGGCCTTCCCAGTTATCTCTACTCATACTGTATCGTGAGCGTCATTCACTGGTTGTAGGCACGTGAAACACATCTAATACTTTCTCTTATGACAATGAGGGGAAAGAGAAGACAGATTTGTGATTTTATTTTATTTTTTATCTAAGTAATAATTGATAATTAATTAATTAATTAGTTATTAAATTAATAATAATCAAAATAAATTTAGATATAATTATTTAATAGTTAATTAATGAATAGAAAATAATTTAAATTTAAAAAACTCTTAAATAATGTAATTAATAACTAATTAATTCAAAAATAATATTAAATTATTATTTATATGTACTTAATTTAATAATATTTAATTAATAATATTAATTTGCATAATTAGAACTAAATTAAAATTGATAATTATTTTTTATTATAGTAATAAAATAATATTTTTTTTAATTCTAATAATAATAGAAGTTGCCAAACAACTTGACAGAACTTACTTGGATTTATGAAATCTGTTGCAAACAGTTTTTGGGATTTAACTCTTATAGGATTTACTAAATCGAGATTTACAACATTTACTAAATCTTACTAACATAAATCTAATCTGTTGCCAAACAACACCAGAGTGTCATGCATATAAATTTTACTAATATTTATTATCTTAACATAATATGTATAAAATTTTATTTAAACCAAAAACTTCTCA